CACTCAACCACATTATAAAAGTCATATTTTTTAGCTTTAGAAATCTCTCCTTTCAAGGGCTTGAATTTGTATCTAGAGTAGAAGGACAACGTGATGAACTAAAGTACAGCGTATTAGAATTTGGGCACGGCTGACATACGATGTAGGCGTTTTAGTGTGTGACCAAGTCAGAGGAAAAACGCAGACCAGGCTTCATGACTGACGAAGATTGGAGAGAAGTGTAAGACCTGCCAGCAGCACTCCTTACACAGCAGCAACGTTAAGCGAAACTGCTAATTAAATAGCGTCCCTACTCACCACAGAATTCTTCTCTGCTTAGGCCCGTACAGAATGGCGGTGGGTAGTGAAGGGCTCACGGGCTTTCCGCGACTACACGGCCTAACCCAGCTCATAGACGCTGTAATATGTTTGGAGTGCTTTGTGTGCATGTTTGAGTGTATGCCGCTGAGATTTAACAGTTATTAATTACATCAAACAACTTTTGAGGCAACTGTTTTATTAGATAAAAATTAATTAGAGAAAATTGGAGGAGAAATGGCTTCGTCCCCTCCACCCAGAAGAATTTAAACGAAGAGATGGAAGACAAAGGTGACTCACCTCGTTTTAAAGCTTCTCAAAATGCCGTGGCTTGCCGTGAGTATAGAAAAATTATTACTGTTTTATTCTTATTGCTTGCTTTTTGGTGGTAAAGAAATGGAAGCAACCTAAGCCCCACTCAAATTTGGGTCCACCCATCGCCACTGCCTGTACACACCAGGAGAATTTCCACCCGTCGCACGGTTGCGAGTATGCAAATGAAGCAATTTTCGCCGGTTCGCCTCTCGTCACAGGCAAGTGACTTAATACTTCGCAGCCATGCGACGAGTGAAAATATAGGTCACGACGCGCTAGAATCAGGCGCTTGTCAGTTTTTGAGCATCTGAAGTTATTGGTAGCATCTTAAAGCTTGTTTGTTTGACAATCTTTTGATTAAAAAAATACACGCCTATCTTGAATAGAAGTCAAGATATTTACGATTGAAGGAAGTTGGGGTCGCCTGGTTTCAGAGGTAAAATTAGAGAGAAAATGGCCGCCAAAGTTTTTGTGATTTCCAAAGCTTAAGAGTCCTTAGAAACTGAAAATGTACACTTGCTGTGCCTTTAATCAATGCTTTTCATTAAAAAAAAAAAATCTACATAGAAATATGTTTTTAAATGGCCATAAAAGGCGCTGAGCCAAAAAAATATTTTTTTTAAAGTTTTAAAATGGTCAAACTGGAGGGAAAATGCCGATAGCTTCCATTTCGTTATTTTGACGAGCGCCTGATTTCCACGTCGATGCCTTACAATATTATGCTCCTGGGTTAGTTGCGCGGAGTCTAATGGACCTTTTCTGCTGTGAGCGAGTACAATACAGATTTTGGCGCTTTCGCGTCTCATTTCCAGACTTCTCCCCCCC